ATCATGCGCTGCTGTGCGGCTGCTGTTTGGGCTCGAGAGAGAGCCCGTAAGGCACAACGGGACGAGTGAGTTCCGTAAGAACGATCGATAAGTGTCCCTCTACTATTAGACACTTAACTGTGTAAAAGTCATAACACGTACACAAGCTCTCTGTCTGAAGTGAGGGGGACACGATTATGCCTTCGGAACAACCAGCTGAGAGTTTAATGTTGCCCATGACTACAGAGGAGAATGAAGGCAACACAGGCTAAAATTTGTAAAACCCAGTGAGTTGGAAAGAAGTCATTCTTTACTAAGTGTAAAACACTACTTGAAATGTGAGATCACAGCGAAATTGCAAATGCAAAGTGCTATCAGAGTTCTCACTTTCCGAGGTAGTGGTGGCCGAATGCAGCTGTGAAAAGCTAGTAGGATTCTCTTTAACCATACCATCGCCTTATCTGCCATATGCTAAAGGTACAGCGCTGCGGTAGATCATGCCGTTATGAACAGTAGATACGGTTAGGATTGTCTAAATTGCATCTTATGATCTCTGTGTACTAACAAATCATGCGTAGTTGATCGATCCATAAAGCCTAGGTTTAGCAGTCTCCAAATACGTTTCGTCCAAGGACCACCACCTGCGCATTTCTAAGTCCACGCTTGGTCCTGAACTTGAAAAAAAGACAAAGTAAAACATCCCAGTTTCTCGAATTAAAATCGGCTTCAAAAATCGACCAGACGAAAGTGATGCATCGTCCTTTCTTAACGGATAACGCTTATATTCGTAAAAGACTTTTACTCCGGGGCAGTGACTTATGTGATTCAACATTGCACACCACATGAATTAGGAAGTCTTTTTCGTAAAAGCTTTCTTGTGATTTTGGAAGGACTTTAGAGAGTGGAATTTTATGGGAAAATGACATGAATGTATGCTGTAAATCACCGCAATTCTCAATACGTCACTCGGAGATGACAGGCAGTTACGAACGCGATGTCCTGGCAGAACATAGTTGTAGCGGCTATCAGGATAAGTATTGTTTGAGAGAAAGTAAGCGCACACGAGGGATGAACTGCATTCTACACAGTAGAGCTTAAGAAAATGTAGGGTAGATAACGCAAAGACATGCGCCTGGCCAGCTGGGTTTCAATTGAAAGCGCCGGGATTTATAGGTCACTACCGACGACCGAAGTTTTCGCAGGACGTGCTAGTCCGCCAGGAAGGCGCTAGGCGAGTTATCGCTGCGGTCAGGCGATAAGCCAAGGATGAAGAATGCAGGTTTTTGTGTGCGGACGCGTAAGGTAGGTTCGTGAGTCACGTAAGCAGCCCACCTGCACATGCAACTTGTGTATGTCACTTCAAGATCCTTAAAGAGAAAGGTGAAGGCGTTGTTTGTCATGGGAACAACAGCGACTTCGACGTGAACATAGGGTTGGGTTGACAAACTGGCAACGAACTGACGGCAGGAAAGCTGGTTTCACATACCCGAATAACACGAACACTGCAGTCGAATGTGTGGCGGGAGTGCACAAGAACTGCCTTCACTCGAATGGCCAATAAACTGATACTGCTATTGCTATTGCTATTACAGAAGACCATTGCATTTTCTCCTAAATTACGCCTTCAGTAAAACGATACCTCTGGGAAAATCAGCTAATTTAGACAAACAATGACATTCTGGCCATCTGTGTATTCAACTCCTTTTTGTAATCAAGAAGTATACGCATCCAATCAACAAACAGATCGTTTTTAACGAATTTCAGCAAATGATCAGAATCATGGAATAGTTAGAAATCCACGAAGTCGTCCAAAATATGGAAATTTTTTTAATTCCATTGTAAAAACGCAAAATTTTAAATATTGTTTTTTACACCGACATCTGCAAACAACTAGTTCCATCGCTATTTTGAAGGTCCGGCCGGGATTAACGCGTCAATGTGTTCATAGTGGAGCATAAATGCTCGGCTTCTACCTCATCCCCTATTCTGGAACACCGTATAACTGGAAAAAAAATCTGGGCAACTGGACGTAGGAAAAGAAACAATGGCTGACAAAATCCAGCTGCCAGATTGTGCGTGCCATACGCAACCTGGTTAGTAAGTCTACACGAAACAGACGTCCAAGGATGAGATGGTGTCCTGGTTGTTATCATATTTTGGTACCATCAAAGTGTCATCAAGGAAAAGCTATTGCGTTCCGACCTTCGATTCTTTGTCAGAAAGGGTCGATTGTTCACTTAGCATCCTTCCAACCCTTGAATTTAGCACGTCGTGATTGTTTAACCGCGCTCCTGGTTGCTTAATTTCAGGTACTGAGTGCTCAGTGCGATGTGGAACGACCTTTCTGGGACCTAGGTGGTCTGACGAATTACTTCCTATTGGAATAGCAGCTTTCGCAGTGTCTGATGAAACTCAAGGCCGCTATTTACCGCGTGTTACATATGGAAAATTAGATCTCACATGCGTCAGAGGTGTTGTATAGACTACAGCGGGAAGAAGTCCTTTTGGTTTGGCGTTCACTACAGAGAAGATCGAGCTAGCGTGTCAGCGGACATCATCAACATAATCTGAAGCGAATCCGATTTATTATAACTAGAAATGTGCTGAATTGCCATTAGGAGCTTATCTTTATCTCGGCCCCCCTCTCTGTCATGTTATGTGCAAACACAGCCTTTTCGAGCCGGTTGGCCGACTGATGATAAGATTGGACACAATGGCTATCGTGACGTGTGCGTTCGTTTGATTCGTACCGCGCACCTATTCGGTAATATCAAAGGTCTCATCAATAATTAGTGCAGCCCGACTTGCACCAGCGGGACTCTTGTATTGGTCTAGCTTATCAGTAGAGCTGTCGCCAAGGGGCCAATGAAAATCGGCCAGTCGTTAAGTACTCGGCTGGTCTATCGAATCGGCATAGCGATATTAATAAGACCGAGAGCGTTGGGATTTTCTGTGGTGCGATCAACAGGAACAATAGCTCAGCGAGCCAGCATACCAAGAAGGCGGGAGTAAAACTGGCAGACATAGACGTTTAGTGCTGTCATACTGTTAACAGTTGTCCTTATTTCTGTTAGTTGCCCAGGGCTGGGTTTTGTTGACCTTTTTGATGATGTGTACAATGAAAGGAATCTCTGAAAGCGCGGAACTCTATACCTTAATGACTGCTTGTTGCAATGTGACCGTTCAAAGTCGCCGATCTGCACCTATCCGGCCGTCTTCAAGTAATTTTAGAAATTCCAGAGAGTCAGGGAAAGATATTTTTTGCTAGAAATTCTCAAAGTGGAGGGACCTGCCTGAGTACCTAGGTGCGGTCTATCAGGTGTGGTTGAAGGCGGAGCGGACTTCTGCGAAATTTAGATGTAAAGTTAGCTTGCTCTCGTGTTTGATAAGCAGGCAGTCGTGGCGCATGCAACAGAAATGTCTCAAGCATAGCTTGGTACTTATACCCGAGAAATGTTAATTATGAAAAGGTTGCGAGTCTTAACGACTTGGCGAGAGTTGCCCTTTATCAAGCAAGGCTTTGCCGTCATTCAGCACATTCCCGGCATCCGAATCTGCTGTCCCGGAAGTGAATGAAGACTCCCACCCTCAAATGCAGGAATCACAGGAAACCATACCGTCGTCAAGCTGCTCCGCTTCACTCCTGTTCGACAAACTAGAACGTGACTGAATAACGGCGTGGTCATTGTCAGCGCATTCTCGTTGGTTAGGATGAACGCTGCAGAAGGACATAATTTCTAAATAATGACAGCGGTAACTCATTTTGACCCAGCTGTGGAAAGCTTGGCGACTTCGCTGGCGTTCAAACCTACAACAGCAGGAGGAAGGGTTTAATACAACCAACGCCCTAGCTACCTGAGCTACGAGGTCCCAGCAGGAGTCGTGAGTTTAATCACGGCTTTCCTTGCTGTCATGTATTCGAATCCCACCGAAGTCGCCGAGTTTTCCACAGTTTGTTCAAAATGAATTGTTCAAGATCTGTCAGAACACATTTTAATGACATCAGCAGCGTCTATCACTTCCGCCACCGCTGCCGCGGAGCAGGCTTTCTGAACAACAGTAATAAGTATATTTCCTAAGTCGCAAACAAGTAGCCTACCTTGATAATGCTTTGTTTACAAAGATTAGGAAAGTCTGCACATACCATTATGGTGTATTTTTCCGCCCATAAACCAATATGTAATGACCACAGATCTGAACCTTTTGGGCATAAAGCTAAATGCTCTGTTGAGTGCGTCATCAGTCCGATTTCCGTTAGCTTCAGTTAAATATTTTAAGCCAAAGGAGAGTGACATCCATCAGTCGGGCTAGATTGCAGGCGGAAATACGACATTCACGACATCTGCTTGAGCTCCTGTGAATAGTCCCTGATAATGGCCATATTGCAAAGACCGAGTTATAGCAGGGGGAGAGTAGACTACAAATGCCTGTTACAGTGTCCATTAACGTTGTCGGTAGAACCCCTCTCTTGCTTAGTTATTGTCGTTCTGCGGTTGCATGCGGGAAAGCTCAAGACTGGGACTGGAATACACAAGTAGCCAACTGTATTCCACCCTAAAATCAGCCTGTGGGTTAAATTCCGCTTCCACACGACCGGTACCTTCTAATATGTAAAGTTTCCCAAAAAATACCAAATTATGGCCAACGTTCCATTTAACAGAAACTAGCTCCGTTATGAGGGTCACTTTTGACATTTGTTTGAATATGGAGGCAAAAAGCTTGTTTAACTTAATGACCCAGTTATAAACAGAATTTATTTTCACAGGTCACCGCAAGCGGTCGACTTTCGTGACCACGGCCTCATAACTGATTGTCTGTAAACACAGTCATGCGCCATCGGTTTCCTGCATCTGTCCAATCCGGTACAAACTGAACACCCGACACAATAGTGTGTGAGAGAGAAAGAGAAAGCTGTATGCACGCTTGTTTATGCGCATAACAAGGCGCATTCGCGTTCCGAGCTCCGAATTCTTCACACGTTGTGGCTGGTGAAAATGAGGTGGCTGCTTAGCGCCTTTTCGATGCTCCTTCTTCTGTCCGGCTCGAAGTGTCTGATCCCAAAGCCGCTGAAACTGAGTTTTCTCGATGAGGCCGTGAGCATCGGCGTCACGTTTAATTGGACGACCAACGTCCCCCACTGTTTTATATTAAACGAAGCAATTAAGCGTTTCAACTGGGGTCTCCGTCTCCGACATCCACTTATGGAAAAATTACCCACACATGCATCCACTTTGGATACACTAATGATTTCAATAAAAGATGACTGTGATGAGCGCATACAGGCAGTAATGCCAAGAGAAACTATGAAGGAAGATTGTGAGTTGATTCCTCTGTTTCTTTTATACATTATAACTAATGCAATTGGATTCCTTGCTGTGACTAATATTTTCAACTTTAGACACGTTGGAAATTTCAAATGGGACTATTCTTATCAGTGCATCTGAAGTGTGGGGTGCAATGCATGCGCTAAACACGGTTCTACAGCTCACCTTCTCCTCTACGACTTATAAAGTTATATCCTCAAATTCTATAATTTATCTACACGTCCTTCTAGGCCCTCTTGAAAGGCGTGAGAATTGATGATTCGCCAAGGTTTGCGTTCCGTAGCTATCTGATTGACACATCTCGACACTTTATTTCCATTCAAAAAATTAGAGATTTTATTGTAAATTTAAGCCTTTTTATTCCTATCACTAATCCCACCTAAGGAAGCCATGGCGTTTGTAAAGATGAACATATTTCACTGGCACATTGTTGACGATCATTCATTTCCGTTTGAATCATCGACATACCCAGATCTTTCAAGGAAGGTAAGTGAATTTTTACACACCAAGACAGTGACTTGTGTATTTTGCAACGTTAGACGAAGTGCACAAGGCTAGAAGAGATAACATACCGAGTAGTAGGATAACTGCATCCAGATGTTGCCTGTACTTATTGAACTCAGTTCTCAAAAATAGCGACGATTTCAGGTGATAGTAAAAGTGATCAGGGTCATATTATGCACAATTGCTCTTCAAGTTATGACACCGAAAATCAACATTAGAATGTCAATGGCATTCGTTGTTTCAAAGAATAGTTCTTCCACCTAAAGCTGCGCTTTCTTAGTAGACGCTATAGGGGTATTACAGTTTAGGTTTACGTATATGCTTTCATGAGAGAAGAAGAACTGCCTGTCTTGTGGACTTGGATCATGATACTATATCAATGAAAAGTTAAAAGTAAGTTAGGGAAAGCACACTCGCCTCAATATTTGACGCCTGTGTGATTCACAAAAAGACTCTGTTTCATCCACTCAGCGTTCTCAGAGTCGTTGAGAGTAATAAATTAAAGTAATTTTCGGGTTGCAAAAATCCGAACGAAAATTGTTTCATTAACTACCGAAACTGTTGCCAGCAAATGTCGGTTCTCGATATATGGCCAATTAAATAACTGATAGATAGGAGTCCATGTGATCTCCCGAGATAATTTCTAGATAAGTCATCGTATCAACTAATGCTTTATATCTATCTTTTCGATTTAGGGTGCTTATGACCCGTCTGCTGCTGTATATACATTCGACGATGTGCAGGGGGTTATAGAATTTGCGAGACTGCGTGGAATACGCGTGATGCCGGAGTTCGATACACCAGGTACGCAAAAAGTTATATACTGAATTCCCACGGTGCGGATAAGCTTGTGAGTTAAATTAATTGTAAATTGAGTATTAACTGTAATCATCCGTATGCTTTCACACGGACCCGCCTTAAGGGTGGGAGCAGAAGGCTGGTGGATAGGCCATAGCGCCGTCGGGGGAGTCGTTCTCCTTATGTTTTCAGCACAACTGATTGATAGCTGCAAGCTTTTGTAGTACAGATAGCCTGGGTACGTTCCTTAAGTAGAATTCCTTGTAAAAACAATCGCACGAAAAACCTAAAATAGTCTATCTGTGACTGTTTCTACGCAGATGCGTACACACGCTATCTATGCTGCGAAAACGTGCAGTATTATCAACCAGTCGTGCCGAAAGAAAAAACGAACGATCTCTCGGTCTGGGCCATGACACCGTCCAACAGTGTTGGGCTTCCTCCTTGGGACGGAGCCATGTGCTAACAGGGTTAGAGTATAGGCGAGATCCTTATACAAGACCTATTTAAAATTTGTTTGATGATGCTAATTAATACTCTGAACTTACAAAAGACTCTAGTTTGGGCCATATGAACGTACAGCGACTTTTTACATTCCCTCATTTTTCAACTGCATTCTCCAAAAAGTGGTGTCGAACATTGTGAGTCAACTTCTGGCTAGGGGTTACTGCACGAAAAACAAGCTGCTGGAGTCAAAACACCTCAAACTTCCACAGCGTTGTGTTAAAAATAATTCAACTTTAAAGAACAGTTGTATGAACAAATCAAAGGCACCTCCACGGACTCCCTTATCAGGCTCGATGCTTAAGCTGGTCATTCAACAGACAGGACGCTTGACGTTCACCAATTTCTAACTGAACTTCTACGCTCGTTATTTTGACGAAACCTTCGCCGTACTCAAAACATACTACACTGAGCACTCCATAAATTGCCGAACTCGATTGGCCAAAACATTCAGTTCGCGGTGGAAAGGAGAACAAACACACGAGACGTCATTCTGGGACGGTGCGCAACTATGGAACTGCTATTTACCGTATTCACATAGCTTCTAACACTAGGTCAATACTTCAGACAACCAGTAGCTACCTTTTGTCGCAAAAAGTGACAAACGTGCAGCGGAAGCCAGTAGGAATGACGGTAGCTCCACAACGCAGCTCATTAGGCGGAACACAGCCAACAATTTCAAGTTTTACGAGGCCGCGATTCGCGCAAGAGGTGACAACCGCGTGAGCTGCGTGCCTCTTGAGTCATGGTTCTTAGATCCGCAGTCAATTAACAAGCGCAATGAACTGCCTGGACAAAATACTCGCCCGCGCGGAAGTTTTCGCACGACAGACAGTACCGATGGCAGCGAGCCAGATTTTCTAGTTGTCGCCACGCCAAGAATCAATAACGCTGGTGAAATCACGGACATTACCGACTCGGGTGCGAACCAACAAGGAATCAGTACATCAAAACAACCCTCCAACAATAAACGCGAGGGTTGTTAATTAGTGTAAGCATGTGGCTGTCCGGCAACTTCCTTCTATAAATACTGCGCACCTTATGATTTCATTATCCATTTCTGCCACTGTCTCTGGTAATGGGTTCGAGTAGCGGTTGGAATCATCAAGCCAATAAGCATTTTGTTTCATTTATCGCATCATCATCATCATCATCATCATCATCATCATCATCATCATCATCATCATCATCATCATCATCATCATCAGCAGCAGCAGCAGCAGCAGCAGCAGCAGCATCATCATCATCATCAGCAGCAGCAGCATCATCATCATCATCGCCACCACCACCATCACCACCATCATCATCATCATCACCGTCACAATTATTTTCATCATTACTATCATCTTCCGAAAAAAACATGGTTGTCTTCACATTCTTTTGAAAGTAGTTTAAACTTATTACAGTTATAATGACTAAAGGAGTATAACTTCGTTACTTCTTCTGGGTTATCGGATAGCCGAGCTATTTTATCGAGCAAAGCGCATTTTAATCTAATTAGGGACAGCCTTATGAGAAGCAAATTGAAATCCGTGGGACAATTTTTGCATCAGAGGAAGTTTTGATGCTATCTTCACTGTCACAATCCCTCGGAGTGGACGTGGAGCATAAACGATGGACCACAATTCATCGACGTGGGATGCTATCTATGGGCCCCGTGTCGTTTACGGAAACCTCTGAGCCGATTATTAAACTTTGTTGCGGTGGTGGGGTTGTAACTGCATGGGCAAAGCGAATGGAAATTGCATATCTGCCAACAGAAACGCAGCTTGACAACACGGATACCAGGCTCTAGCTCTTAAATGGCAGTGCACATCGGGAAAACCGCTTTCTGAAACTTGCGGTTTTGCTTACATCAACAAACTGGCCACAATTCTAATTCATGGAACCACAATCCTAGACCGAGTAAGTCCAAACGTGTAACGGCCCAAACAGGGTGAGGGGTTTTTAAATTTTGACCGTAGCAGCAGGCGTTTTGACCAAAAAAGTCAAACTTCCATATAATTTGCCAAGCAAAGATCAAGCCCAGATGGCGCGCTGAACTTAAGAAAATCAAACAGAGCCTGGAAACGAGCCCAAATGACAAGAAAACAGTGATTCAATAAACCAAATAAACCCCCAGAGAGACAAAAACACCCTTTATTGAGCCAATGATTAGCTACGCAGGCATTTCTCAAACCTGCCAACATCCACAAGAGGGCCGAGGAATCGGAGAAGTCAAAATCGGCCAGTCCAAGACCGACTAGCTTGTCAACTCATCCCACTTTCTGTCTGATTCTGTTGACAAAATGCTTTGTGAATGGAAAGTCAGCCAAGTGGCCCGAAACTATCACGGCATGACAAAGCTGTTTCGGTGAGCCATTACTCCTTCTCAACTTGTCAACACGGAGATTTCAAATTTGCCTATATGATGACCGGATGTGTCAGAATTTGCGCATCTTTTAACAATAAGGAAAGTTTCGTTTTCATGTGTCATCATGAGGAAGCCCTATTTGTCAGTCGCTTTAGAAACGGTGACCTTTCGCTGGAAATCTCCGTCAGTACCCTTAGCCATTTACGGTGACTACTCGTGTCGCAGAACATGCACGATACACTGATTGTTGAAATTCACAGTGTACAGTTGGCATTTTACCATTTCCCATTGACTAGGTTCTATTATTCTGTATACGTTAATAGAGACTTCATTTACAATAGTTCCAGATCTGAAAAATTATTTAAATCTCGAACCACAATACAACTATTTACAGTGACCAAGCAACCGCGCGCTTCCTATGCAATCTTTAGGCGAATATGTGCTTTCTATATTTATCAAAACCATCTATGTATACATACCTGTGTGCAGGATTTAACACGAAGACGTGATTATGTATCAGAGAACTAAATAGTCATACTACGATTTAACGTAGGCCATACTCAATCGTGGGGCAAGGGCTACCCATATGTCCTCACACAGTGTTTCGAGAGTGGGAAGCCAACCGGTGAATTTGGACCGGTCGATCCGTCAAAGAATTCAACCTTTGACTTCATGAGAGCCCTATTCGGTGAGGTAACGAAGACGTTTCCTGAGAACTACCTCCATCTTGGCGGAGACGAGGTTGATTTCACCTGCTGGCAAGTTCCTGTTCGGTATTTATTTTATAGACAGGCAGTCAAATCCAGACATTACAAAGTTTATGGAGCAAATGCACTTTGGTAAGGACTACAAGAAGCTGGAAAGTTACTATATTTCTCGACTACTCACAAGTCTTCAACGTCTGCCGGGATCGGAAGAGACAGTGAGGCCCGTAGTATGGCAGGAAGTGTTTGACAATGCACCAGACGTAAGCTGTCATGTGTCCTGAAAAGTTGGCTTACTTTTTTATAGCTCTCTGGGAATGTGACAGTTCATGTTTGGATCAGGACTAACTGGGATGCCGAACTTAGAAGGATTACCGCGGCTGGTCACGAGGCTATTTTCTCCGCTTGTTGGTATCTTAACATAATAGGCTATGGTGAAGACTGGCCGCAATACTACACCTGCGATCCGGGGACGTTTACAGGTAAATTTAAAACGGATAATTCCAAACGTTAAAAAATCCAAAAGAGAACATAAAATTAGATATCATTGGGAGGATTGCAATGCACTTCCTCTTAAAACACCTTAAACGTTTCATTATGACATCGTTGAAAGTTTCCACTGTTTGACTAAGAAAATGTTACAAGGATTGCGACTAACAGCATTAATTAGGGAGAGAGATTGTCTTTAATTTCGGCCTATTGGACTTCCTTTTTGACAAATTCTAGTCAGAAGACCACCAGGCGAGCATACGCGTGCTTTCGATAAATTCACATCAGGCCAGTACATTTGTATGGGAACGAGGTATAAAGTAAAACGTGTGAGCGATAAGAGAAATCGATTACGGTTCATCTTTTCATACGAGTGTGAATGGAGGAGGGGAGGAGGCACTAAGTACCATTGAGGGCTAGGTAGAGCCATGACACACGGGGAGGGGGTGAACAGGGGGACGGAGACCTGCATACAGTGAATTGATCTTTTGCCACGATAGACGCGGGGCAAGTAAGAGGGTCCGCTGCGCGCACGGGACCGGTCTCCGCAGCCTGATGGCAGTCGCTTCAGCTGTTGCCAGAACGCGCTGACCCAGTTGCCTAGGTCAGTTAGGTGAGACATACGAAAGGCTTCGTTGGGCACCACATGATGTCCACAATCAACCATGTGTGCGAGGGTGGAGCTGTGTACGGTCTTAATTCCCAGTGCGAGGGTAGATCTGTGCGTGCTCCTAATTTCACCTTTCCCAGGCATGCCGGCAGGTGTTCTCTTATTCTCGTGCATGGGCGCCGACTCGTACGACCAATGTGGCCTGCTTCACAGGAGCAAGTAAAGGAGTAAATACATATAGCTCATGAAATGTCAACCGAAATTCTGAAATGCGTTTCCAATTCAAAAATATTAATTAAGTAAGATTCCAAAACTAATGACCATGTAGCTTCATTATGTAATAATTCATCAGCCTCAGGATGCCGGCTTTCGAACGAACTTCTTTCCGGTTGCATGCAAAAACTATACTCTGTAAAAAATGACTACTTAATTATCACAGACTTTTCTCATTAATTTCCCATGCCCTCAAAAAATAAATTATATTTCATTGAAACATTCATAATAATATTTACCCTTCTACTCATTCGGTAGGCAATTACGTCTTTTTCAAATTTTATACTCAAAGGGGGGTATAATTCGGTTTTAAAAATCTTTTCCAATTCCCGAATAATTTTGAACCCGACCTGCCGTTGCACGTGCATTCAGGATTTCCAAAATACAAGCCGCATATTTTCTTCGCGTATGGAAAACCATACATTTCTCTAAGGTATTAAGAGGAGACCATATAGGGTTCATAAACGTTAACAGTGGATTTTTGCCATATAATTGATTTTACAAGCAACATTTGTAAATGCAGAGACGACATTTTATGAACAGCCATTTCAAAGTATTAAAAAATCTCCCAAATAAAAGCTTTTTAAAATCGAACTTCCCCTTTCTTAATTAAATTTTTAAGGGCATCTAAAATCAATGAGAAAAATGCATGCTACTCACGTAGTCATTTTTAACGGAGTATAGTTTTTTCATGCAACCGGGAAGAAGTTCGTTCGAAAGCCGGCATCCTGAGATAAATGAATTATTATAGAATTACGCTGCACGAAGTTTTGCAACCCTACTTAATTAATCTTTTTGAAATGGAAACGCATTTCGGAATTTCGGTGGACATTTCATGAATTAGCCCACCTACTGTAGCCTCTCCTTACCGTGCATAGCGGGGTTGGTCGAGGGTAATACCCGAACTCTTGCTGCCACGAAGGTCCGTGAAACGATTTGATCAAGTTGTCTTCTCAGCAGTTCACTCGCTTTGTCCTCTCGAAAGGGGACTTTAAGGAATAGAGTTTTCTGCCATCGGTGTTACGAGTTTTGCCAGTTGTTCGGCAAGTTTTCTCACAATAAATCTGTCAGGATACCCGTTCTCGCGAAGCAGGTCCTGGACTCTTCGAAGTTCTTCATCAATGCTATCTGCCGAACAGATTTTTCTAGCCCTTTGCGCCAAACAATGGACCAGAGTACGTTTCTGTTGAAAGGGTACGAAACTGCAGAAGATCGTATGTTGCCAGACCAGGCGTCTTTTCGATAGACGCTTTTTCAATTACTGTCGTTAACTGATCTGCTTAGAAGGACGTCTGGGAAAGGCAAGGAGCCTGACGTCTACGCCACATCGTTCCCCAATAATGGTTTGGATACTCATTCCTCTCATTACAGTCCCCAATAAAATTGGCCGGTTTTTTCGCCTCCACAAGCTTGGTGTTAAAATTTCGGTACACATTGAGTGCTTTTAACACCGCGGGCCAGTACATTTATATGGGGACCGGGTACAATCAGATTGGAAAGTAGCCGGGTGAGCAGCTCTGGCGAACTAATCGTCCCAGTACACTCCGATCTGCTTGTCAAAGTATTTTCACATAGTTTCGAGGAGTGTGCCTATACTGCCAAGAAACTAACAAGAAAATGGTATTTTAATTGAAAACCTAATACCATTCTATATTTGTCCCGTACAATGTTTCAGCCCGTTGTATCTGTCTGTATTCAGCTCAACATGCCTTCCTTTTGTCGGGACTAAGACGGTAACGGACATGTTTGTAACTTTGCAATAAGGATCATGTGTCAGACGACAACTTTATCAGAGGATGAAAGTTTTTGGAAGTCACCAGGTTTTTTGTTGGAAGTTATGGAATCCGTGAGTCCTGTTCAAAGTCCCCTGGAAGATTTGAACGAAAGCACACGGTGTTTTTATTTTGTGATTGATACCTTCCTCCGGTGTACCGGCACGAATGGCACTAAAACCAGAGTCGTACATGATCGTAATCCTAATTTCCAGGTCGGTTGTCCCCGTTAACGTGTCCTGTTGTTCACATTAATTACTGATTCAAATTTCAGTTAAAACTCTTGCCGCATAGAAGTCAAGAATATAATGGTTACGCCGACTATGCTGACCTGCGCTTAATCTGTACTCACTATATACGTGAGGAAAATACAGTTAGCTTTCCTTCGCATCCCAAGACCGAGGCTTCTGCGTGCAAAATAACTGCTGTTATTGTGTCTTCTCCCTGTTTTCAGAAGACAAGAAGCAGCAAGCACTCCTTAAGGGCGGTGGCGCAACAATGTGGTCTGAATATGTTGACGACACGAATTTGATTTCTCGTTCATGGTAAGCGGTTTTTCCAGATAAGTCTCAGGTCAATAAAATTTCAAACCAAAGAAAAGGCCTTTTCGGAGGTTATTGCATGTCAGTAAGACGACTCTTTAGATTTATTTTGAAAAGGATTCCTCTGTATGCCTCCACAGTTTTGCGCCTTTGGTTGCTCTTCCTTGCGTACTTTAGTTTGGATATTTTCAAGGTCAGTCTTTAGTATATTTATGGGTTCCTTCCTGCTTCCTTTACAGGCCAAGAGGAGCGGCGGTAGCAGAACGACTCTGGAGTCCGCAGTCGGTCAATAATGTGCTGGAGTTCCGTCCCCGACTGGAGGAAATACGCTGCCGATATCGACAGTAAGTTTAAAAAGATATGTTTAACCTACTTCATAGCACACATTGATGTATATCTGCACAACATAAGACAGTTACTATAACAAATTTTCCTTATCCTATCTGATTGAATATTATAACCTTTTAGGCGGGGTATCGAAGCCGAACCGGCAGTTGGGCCTGGATACTGTTTCGTCTATTGACTCGTTCGGATACTATGCGTATTCCACAGAAAGTCAACACTTACGAGTCCTGAATTACGCCAATGAGCACCAAGTCTTACAATTTTGTCCTCGCCTGGTCTCTTGCGGAATGTGCTTTTTTTATTATTCTCTCGCTTTTTGATTCTTAAAACGCCAATATTTATTAAAGGGCTGTATGATTATTACAGTTTAAGTTTCATACCGGCACTAGGATATGAACCGAGATATATGGTTGACCACCTTGTTTCAAATATTTAATATGCTCTTTGATTGTTAACTCTTATATACTTGGTAAAGAAGATCAAATCTATAAAACGAGATAAACTGGAGATCGAAGTTAACCTCATAATTGAACACAAGTTAGATCTCTGCAAATCTTGCGCACACACTTAGCTGACAGTGAGTTAGTTAGCTTTCGCGTGGAATAATGGCGCTATTGCAGGTTATTTTCCTTAAAAGGTCCATAAATGCTAACAATAGCCTGAGGCCTACGTACAAACTTAGCGCTCCCACCGGAAACGCTGCATTTCTGAGACTGCTTCCACGCATATTTAACTCCCATCAGACAGAATTCGAAGAATTGGTTATGAAGTCAGAAGGGGATATGCACATAAGTACTTTGTCTAGCTTTCTATGGCCCCCGTACAGTTTTCCACTAGCAGTGGGACCAAAAATGATGCTTCAATCGAAAAGCCCGTTAAAATGCTCTCTACAGAACCTCCAGTAATTTAGATATGGGAAACAAGGCCAAAATATCAAATGTCATAACAGGTATGGGATGTAGGATAGAGTCTTCATTTGGATGCACCCATATTCTAAAACGAACTCGAAAATTTTAGTCTGTTCACGCAGCATTACAGCGATGATTTAATGAGCGCTGCAAGATCTTACTGATTGTCAGAATTTGCCATGAGCATCAGCCGACAGCACGAGTTATTAATTGTCCAAAGAGCTTTTGCGACTTAGTCAGCATCAGGGCAAAGGACAGGAGCGAGATTATGTACGCCAAGGATAGCGTTGAAGTCGTAGTCACACGCCCGTGCTCAGTAAACTCTCAACTCTCACAGACGGCCAAGATTTCGAGGTTAGGATATGGTGAAGACCCCCAAATATCAACGACTAGCCACAGCCGCCTGTCTTTCGGGAAGGGTGTTAATGGGGGTTTTACGGGTGGAGCATTCGGATGGTATGACAAATGCCAAAAAACAAGGGAAATAGGTTAAGTACTTCAAAGTGTAACTCAAAACATACAATACCCTTACATATAACGACGAAAACAAAGCGGAAAATTTAACAAAGTAAATATCTAGAAACATTCAAAGTACAAACCAACTTAAATTAACCGCTAATCAATATTTTACATCGAGACAGGTAACCAAGGTAAATCCAACCAATGAGAATGAAGGGATATAGATGAGGAGCCCACCGCACTCAAATTTTGCAAACGGTATTGGGATTTCCATGAGCGCTATGCCAACGATATCAGACCAACTCGATTCTCAGAATGGAAGTCAACAAACGGAATTAATAAGCGGACTGCGTTATTTTTTCCGTGTGATATTAATTTTTCCGAATGTAGTGAACGTAGAAATGTTTTCGTAGTTAATTCCGAGTAAATGCAGATCCGAAGGCGCTACCTGGCGGAGTCGTGTTTTCGCAATAGGCCATCTTTTCCTCAGTATTTCAGGTCATTGTTGGCGAAAACCAAAAGAATTACTTGAAGTCAAATAGAGCACCGAAGTCAAAGTAAACGAATAATGGAAGAGCTAAATTCGGAGAAGTTAGTGGAACACTGCCAGAGAGGACAACTTCTGCCGACGGCATTGGTATGCAAGTGCAAGAACAAAATGAAATAGCAAGTCCCACGGCGCCACTCAGAGGGTTTTGTATTTCGATGTCTCCGGTGCCGAATGCGGAGGACACTTAGAACCGGCTCCATATTTGTGGACAGCCTGCTCAAGATCATCCATTAGACGCACTTCAAGGGCCCGACCACGGGTAAGCACAAAAATGCCATCGCGACATATTGGAGTAGATTGAAAAGGAAGCTCCAAGAAGGCGGGCTGGTATCTGGCCGAGCCATATGGACCCATATTGATTAAGCGGAATACCGCATATGGTTTGACAAAGTTACACGATCGCATATCAACATTCTACGCTCAGTTCATGGGGTCTACTGTAATGGGAGGCCAATCAACGGCCTCGCAATGGTATGAACTAAGGCCTACGATGAACGACCCATCCTAAAGGATACTGCCTGAAACATCACAGCACAGGGAATGGTGGGTAATTTCGAGGCTGACGACTTCCCGATGGGATGAACTGGGTCTAGGATGAGCGACCCATCCGACAGGATGCTGTCTGAAATATTGCAGCATAGCCATCGGTAGGTAATGCTAAGGCGGACTGCAATGTCCTCAACGGAGAAGCAAAGTTACGCGTTCGCTTGCCAACTTCCTAAGCTAAGATCACGGCGGCTAATGTAACGGGAGGCCAACCGACGGCCCCCCAATGGTATGAATTAAGATCTAGGAGGAACGACCCATCCGAAAGGATGTTGCCTGAAGTATCAAGGCACAGCCAATGGTAGGCGAATGGAAGGATCCGCGATGAAGAAGTAAAGCGCGGCGGCTGTTTCTCAACTCTTTGAGCTAAGGTCATGGTGACTTATGCGGCAAGAAGTCAGATGAAAGCCTTCCAATTAAATGTTTACGATGAACGACAATGTTTAGAAGAGTATCGAACAAAACACGAACTACTGAAACGCGTATAGTAGGCACTCTTTGTACGCCGCAGATACTTGCGGGCTTTCACTAATCCTCACCGCTGAGATAGCAGTGCAAACAGGTAACAATATTCGCCATGAAAAACAGCCAACGTAGCTCACTAATGCCAGGGAGAAGATGTTACGGCTAGAACCAAGGAGATAAACATACCTTACTTGCGAGATAATGTGACATCGTAGGTCTCGATACCTTTTTGTTATGACCCGCCAGATACGTGAAATCCTGTGGAGCGTATGCGCACTCGACCCTTGTCCCCAATACCAACGCGGCAGAGAAGGAGAACGCGACCGGCCACGAAACTGTGTATTAGGAAAATGCCTGTCAAAATGAACTGGAAGTAACGCGTATTTATAACGCCTTACGGTGCTTCGCCGGCGTTCGGCCCAATGCCCTTCGGGAAGAACATTCGAGACGAGCCGGTCGATAATTCGAATATGCTGATCGATCAGGCCCGCGAGGAAAAGCCAGTGGAGAGGCGCCACGAGTAAGATGACAGCGCAGTAGAGAAAACGCACGTGGCCTCCCGTGATTGGCTGGCTCTTGTTTTTGGGAGTGTAGGCGCTCCCAACTCCTCCCCTCCAAGTAGGTCAGTACCGCTTCTGGCGTGGGTTGACCTGCATCAGACGTGTTGATCGGCGCACGCGGTTCGTCCGGCGTCTTAGTCGTGGTTTAATGCCTGGAGATACGGGAGCGGTAACTGATACCGAAGATGGTATATCCGAAGGGGGCGCAGAAGTGGGTTCGGGAACCGACTGATCTGCCGGAATGGCGAAGGTATCCAGTAGGATGTCGAGAGAGAGTGCGGCGCCGAATCGAGCCCAGTTGTGTTACTGCAATGTCGCCGTCGGATCTGGTTGTGGTGGCGAACCCAGATGTCATCACCAACGTCGACGTCAAACAACATACTACCTCTGTGCGATACTACGGTTGCTTCAATCCAGTCTGGGAACCCCGCTCGATAATCACGAACGAAGACAGGTGTTCCGATGGAGAGCTTGCTGCGAGAAACTGGAGAAGTCTGCGCAGGCTGCGCACCGGTAGGGACGAGGG